CAAGAGAGAGTATTAACATGAGTAATGAAGATGTATTCATGATAGAGTGGCTTTACAGCCGTTATGATACCATAATACTTTGCCTCTCATCTTAAAATTAACACCTTTTTAAATTATTTTATATTATATTGCAAGATTGTGGCAAATGAAAATAATAAATGATATAGAAAAAGGAATTAATCACAAATATTTAAAAGAATATCTGGCCCCCTACATTGATGAAAAGAACTGTTTTTATAATAACTGCGAGATATTTTTTTGACTTCTTTTAGTAATTCTCAGAGGGCAATTGGTTGTTAAACACGATTCTCAGTATTGAAATACGATGAGAATATGCTGCAAAATCAAACAGGAAAAAAATCCCCCAAAAAAATTAAAAAAAAMAAMAACAAATCTTAGTATTTTTACATCTGTTAATACCTTGTAACTATGGAAACATAACTTCTACTTTAAATCATTTTGAATTACACGAGTCAGTATTAACCAGTTGTAACATTAACTTTAAAATGTTGRGGTTTTTTTTGATAAGATTTTTTCAGGCACGGACCATTTGATTTTTGCCGTATTAGTCGGTACGAACTTTTGGTGTGCTCGATTTTTTTTTCAGCTACGCAGATCAAGATATCGTTTTAATGGATGCTCGATAATTTCTTTAAAGAAGTTGACCTTGCTTGATATTCGTGCCCCTGTCCTTCTAAACAGAAAATTAATTTTCCATCCCCTTATTTTTGGAACTCAGCAGTTTTTTTAAAGTGCTACTACGACGAAAATCGCTCAAACTTGGATTCAGCTGAAACTTCCTAAGAATACTCTTTAAAGGTCCAATAATCACTGTATGAAGTGTTTTCTCGATTTTCAGGACGAAAGTATGATATTTTTACGATTATTTGTTGGAGTCTGTGACGTCATACACTCAACATCAAACATTGCTACATATATTTCTTTGTATATAAATCCTTAATTTATTTTATTCCTATGAAGTCCAAAGGGTGGCTAATGTGCTTATTTCACATTACTTGTGACTATAATTTATATTTTGGGGTGTTTGGGTATTTCTTTCTCCCTTT